GCGTTTTTAGTTTGCGACTGAGGAGGTTTGGCGATTTGAGCAGCTGCGCGACAACTAAGGTACAGCTATGATCTGGCGACGCGGAGAGTAAGCGACCCGGCGAGTTGGGAGACTCAGCGATCTGACGGCTAATGCCGTTTGGACTCCAGCAATTTCGGCACCGAGCTCATTTTTGAATTGCGTAAGTCACCAGACCCGCTAAAGACATGTACACAAGGGTTATTTAACATCGTGATTACAATTACGACACTCATTCTTGGCGCTGGCGCCAAGAGATGACACTACGATTACCTCCTGGGCTCAGCCTTAGCAGAGCGCAGACAGCGGCCAAAGTGTATGAATTCATATTGTAAATCAGGATGGTGAACTACCCCTAAACACAAGTTTTTAGCTGTGACTTAGGCAATTTAAAAATGAGCTCGGTGCCGAAATTGCTGGAGTCCAAACGGCATTAGCCCGATCTGACGTTTTGGCAGATCGTCGGATCTCTGCAATCGCTTGCGACCGGCCCCGATCGCTACCCATCTACTTCTTTGGCGCGCAGTAGCCGGCAACGCCAAGTCCACCAAATCGCCGTATCGCTCAATCCTCCTCAATTGCCTATACTAGCGCAATTTTGCGAATCGCCAAATCTCCTTAGTCACAAAGTATGCGGAAGCCTTTACAAAAGACCATGGAAAGGAAAGACATTAACCTGACTGCTAGAACAACAGTGGTTACTCCTACAGTAGCAAGAGCTTCGATTTGATGTAACATCATAGGTTTGTTCGCAAATTCTACTAAAGGCTTCGGTTGCGTCAAAGTGAGAGGCCGCAGTCGAGTCCCATACCCGCCAACAAGAATCAGTGCCTTCATTCCTATTGAAAAATCCTGAAAAAGTCAAATTAAACCGAAATTCGGATAAGGAGTGATTGGAATGGCCATTAGCTCCGAACATAGCAACGGAAAACTTATAAGTGTTTTGGTACTGAGGAGAGATCACCTTCAAGTCCCTAAAGTTTAGCTGGTTAGTATGCCCTCTATCTAATGCAGTGAAATAGTGAGGGAGAGTTTCTGACGTCATTTTAACCATTCTCCATTCCCTCCCAGCCAACTGTGCTCTCACAAAACGAATCCCAGTTCAAACCCCACCTAGGCCACAAGGAGCTGGACCAAACCAAAGGGGCCAATTCTCAGAAAGAATGTTCTAGGGAGATTCAGCACACTCCGGCGTTCAGTACTGCGAAATATTCATACTAAAAGCAAAAACCACAGCGAAACCAGCATTGCAATGACGGTTCGCTCCCCTACAGGCAAGGAAAGTACACGCAATCCCCACAATACAGACAACTGTTCCAAAGTTGTCTGCGTCTTTGCCTCATTGGGCAGAATTAGAGAAAAAAGCCGATTAGGGATCATACGCAAGCGTGACGGCCAGTAACAGATGTCGCGATTCTCCCGAAATGAGGAATATGGACGCCACTGTGCCTCATTGGATTTTTCACGTTGCTTCCACGATGGTGTGCTGTGGGGGTGTCTTTGTTTGCTTTGGAATAGTGAGGTTTCATGTGAACCAGGGACATTTGGTTGTCTTTGTGGCCATCGCCGTTGCCACCAAGCTATTCCGACACTTTTCAAGCTTTCTTCGAATTCCGTGAAGTTCTTCATTTTTCACGCTA